AGATGGCAGATCCTCTATTTTCCCTCTGCCTGGCACTTGCATAACTAAGAGCTTGCGTGCTCTGTGCTTGGGGGTATGGAAGCATCATTCCCAGTACTTGTCTTCTTTACCAACTACAGATTTGCTAGGAAGGGTTTCTGTAACAAGGATACAGTGTGACCCGATAGCTGAATTATTGGCGTGAAATCTAGGGTGGAGGACATTTCTCCATATACACATTGTAGACTGCGGTCACACGTGACAGTTGGAGTAGAGGGGAAGTGAGGCTATCTCCTCCGGAGGAATTTGACACGCAGTTGTGAGATCACGCATCCCTTTGTAGCTGTGGGCGCAGCCCTCCACTGTGTGATCAGATGCAATTGCGGGTGAGGCTTTTTTTGCCATTTGTTTCCCATGCGCATAACCGAGGAATCGCACCTCCACACTGAGGGCCCCCCCCATCGAGTATGCAGTGATGCACATACTGCAAGGGGGGGGGAGCGGTGCCGGGCTGGGATTGACTGATCAGACTGTCCCGATGGCATGAGATAATGCTTGCGCGATCAGACGGGAAAGTCCATCCGTGGCCCGTCGGAACCCGTTTACTACAGAACTTTCCCCGGTGTCTTTTAACTCCGCTTCTGTAGCACAGCAGCTTGGGTTACCGACAACTGCAGGATGTTTCCCAGATGTTGCTGTCTAATCGGGCCCTTTGGATCCGTCAGGCACTTGCACCTATGTCAGATCTAAAGGTGCGTGTGATCGCAGCCTTATATACTATTAAAGCAGAAAAATAAGTTAAAATTGGATAAGAAAGCATTACATTTAGTATCCCGGTTCCCTAAAACTTCATTTCACCCCCCTAAAAATAACATCCCCCCTATGGTTTCAAAGTTTCCAGAAATTCTAAGCCAAGCCTTTTATGCATCCCAGGACAGGCTTTGATTGATTGATTGATTGATTGATTGATGCCAGTGTGGCCACAGCAGTGCCTTCTCTCTTCCAGACGAGTCATTTCAACATTGCCTTGCCCAATTTGGCTGTTGGGTGGCCCTTCGCATTCACAGCGGCTGAGCTCCCAGCACCCAAAGCATCCTGGGAGCTGTAGTTCAGTGAGGTGCTAAGAATTCTTTCTTAAAGATTCCATCCTGTCCCCTTCCTGACAGGACTACAGTTCTCTGGGAAGAGGAAGCGTCTGTTTAAAGTAGACCCATGGATGTGCTGGGTTCCTTTTTAACTTTCTCCGCCCCCCCCATCTGCACCCCTTCTCTTACAGACACGCCTGAGGGGACCTCTTCCAGTGCCATCAGACCACCTCTGAAGCGACGCTCGCCTGACTGTGCCAGCCCTCCTTTGTGTGAATGCGAACAAGGGATGCGCTTGAAGCGTGGCGTCAACCCAACCACTTTGCGCTCGAAATCAACTGTGTCTCCATTTGCCAATTTCTGCATTTAATTAAAAACGGGGGAGGGGAGGGGGGAGGGAAGAAGAGACGGCAGCACCCTTCCCTCCGGGCCGTGAACGTTGTTGGGTGGAGAACCCTCCCACACGCAGAATAACTATGCTTTTGTTTGTTTCTTTTGAATGAACTAAGAACAAGTGATATTTTACATTTTTTTCACGGGGGGAAGATGAAGATTGGAGATGTAGGTACCGTAAATACATCGGTGTTTCCGGCTGCTGCCAGGTTGGATAGGAACTGGTAGAGAGGTTCATTTAATCGGTACTGGCTTTTGCATTCAAAAAGAGGGTGGAGTAAGGGGTAGGGTAAGGATAAAAATCCATTTGAAATTGATGTTACACATCACTGGGTTTGACGCAAACTGCATTGCTAGGAAATATGTATACGTATAATTGGGGCGGGGGTGTGACACATTATTGTACGCTGTCTCTTTTTAATTTTTTTTTGTGCGTATAGGAAAAAGAGAGGCGCACTTTTTGGGTTTTTTTAGAAAAGGACATTACCTCTCAAGTGGTACCTATTTATTTGCTGTTTAAATGTTGTGCTGTATTTTGTGTCTCGGGGGGGGGGAAGGGGGAAAGGTTTACACGGATCTCTGCTGCTCGGAGGGACGTCTCCCGCAGCAGGCACGAAGCCAAAAAAAAAGATCCCTCCCCCTGACTTATCAAGGTATGCTCTGCCGCTTGGCTGCGACCGAAGGGGGTGAATGTGGCCCCTTCCGCCTTCTGTGTCTCTTGCTCTTCATTTCTTCATCCATCCTGTTCCCCCACCCCCACCCCGATGTAAAAATCTGTTCCGCTGGGCCTCACGTGCCTGCTAAGCCCACTCCGCCTCGGAGGATTCTCAGCTCTGCTCTCTTTTTCCTGTCTGTGTGTGTGTGTGTTTGCATTTATTTTGCCCTCCTGTGTTAATTTTTGCCATCTTGCCTCTGTTGTAAAGATGAATGACAAAACAATACAGTACCCAGAGTTTTCTCTGCATGGAAAAAAACCCAGCAAAGTGTTAACGCGGCCAGTATTGTTGGAGCTCTCGAAACCGTTCTTCCTGCTAAAAAGAAACAAGAAACAAAAAGGGGAAAAAGCCCTCAGAAACGGTGCAGGTGGTGCTTACCTTTGTGGACTTTTTAAAACTATAACATGCTGTTGAGTGTGCAAATGGAAGTGAATGTTCCTTTTCCCCGGGCCCAGGACACAAGGACTGTGTCAGACTCCGGAAGATGCTGTTACTCTTCTTCATTGTTCAGACTTCCTCTGTGAAGTTTTCCCATGAGAGGTATTCACTGACAGTTTTGGGATACAGAGAAAGTTAGGGGATGTGTAAATTTTCACTCCCCAACCCAAGAAATGCCTTTGATGTCCCTCTGAATGTCTGAGGAAAATGGCTTCACCTGAGATAGATCTCTTGGAACGTTAGTAGAGGGGAAACTCTGGTGGTAGACTGTGACCAGAAGAGCTGAGAATGATTTTATTTATTTCTTTACACCCCACCTTTCTCCCCAGTGATGACCCAAAGCAGCGTACATCATTCTCCTCTCCTCCATTTTATCCTCACAACAACCTTGTGAGATCGGTTAGGCTGAGAGTGTGTGACCGGCCCAAGGCCATCCAGCAAGCTTCCCATGGCATGAATGGGGATTCGAACCCGGTTCTCCCAGATCCTAGTCCAACACTCCTACCACTCCACCACACAGGCTCTGGAATGGTGCATCAGGGCCAAGTGGGAGCCTCAGTGATTGGCTGACTTTGCCTGGGGCCTTTGCAGTTGGGGACGCCATTGGTTCCCTTCCTCTGCATCCACCTTCTGACTCCCAACCCATCAGTCTCAGAGGTTCCTGCTCGCCCTGAACACCTGAGACCTTCTCGAGTGTTGCTACCTCGGTGCAGCCACCAACCAGAAGAGTGGGATGGCCACATCGGCTGGGGCCGTGAGCCAGACTCGGTGTGAGCGTCTGTCCCCTGGTCTCAGTGGCCAGTGCTGGCCCGTGAAGGCTCTTCTCCCTCTTGCCCGAGTTCTGAGCCCAGACAGCTGCTGCCCTGGCAAGGGATGTGGCCTTGCCCTGAGACATCAACCCTGTATGAGCCTCTTTACTGTGAAATCACAACACGCCTCAGGTTTCTGGTAACATTTGGGCCAGCACAAGCCTCTGAGGATCGGGCGATTCCTTTTTCTTTAGCAAAGTTTTTAAAGGAGGAGGAGGGCCTTGCGGGGGGGGGGGGGGGGGAGGGAAGGGGGAGTGACCTAAAGAGGGGTGATTATTCAATGCAGAGCTGCATGTCGTTTTGGGCAGCCTTTGAGCCACAGCTCTCAGATGGATCCCTACCTGGGTATGATGGCTGTGTGTGGAAGAGATAAGCAAAATAAGGATGGGTTCATATCTGCAGGAGACTAGGGCGGCAGAGCCCTGCGGTGGACGGGGGAGCATGCCTCCCCTCCATGAAAGAAATGGTATAGTCCAGAGATCCCCAAACCCTCTGAGCCTGCAGGCACCTTTGGGATTCGGGGGATGGCAAAGTGGCGCCCACTTTGGGGAACCCGAGGACAGTCCATCCTTCCAGCTCATTCTCTGCGAAATGTGAACCAGATCTAAGAGAATATCCCAGAGGTCTTTGCACCATCACGGGCATTCTGCTCTCTACCTGCCATGAGCACATGGCCCAGATGAATGCCAAATCAGTGCCCACTGGCCTGCCCCCCTCATGTGTGTGCCTTTGAGCATGATGTTTATGCATGATTTCCATGTTTAGTACACTCCTTCATAACATACAATATACAGAAAACAAGCAAGCACTGTACAAATAATGCAGACCACGAGTGCTCAAAAAGTCATGCAAAAAGAGTAAAGTTATATGACGAGAATAACAGAGGACCACATGTATCAGTAAAACCAAATTACATCTTATAATGTACAGATCCATGAATAGTGCAAGTCCATCAATGGTACGCAGACAAGGACGAAGACTCCGGATTTTGACCTTTGTTTCGATAGCTCTTCTTCAAGAAGTTCACACTACTACAATTTCAAGTAAAACCAAACTATTAATATCATATACTACAATCAAACCCATATCCTGAATACTAAGATGCAAAGATTACCTTCATAAAGCACTCATAATGTACAGAAGACTTTAAAATGGTATATGTAGGAGGAATCCTTAGCGCAGCACTCACAGTGTATAAAAGCCTTCAGACCAGTATTACAGGAAAAAACTCTGGAACAAGGAAGAATAGGAAAATACTCCTATAACATTATTATTTACAGTTACAATACACAAAAATTATTGAAGGGTCATAATGCTCACCAATCCTATTATAATCATTCAAAGCTGGGGAGCCCAATCAACAATAGAATACGTGAGAATTTACCTTTTGGACAGTATTTGAGGATATGGGTTTGATTGTAGTATATGATATTAATAGTTTGGTTTTACTTGTAGTGGCTTTTTGAGCACTTGTGGTCTGCGTTATTTGTACAGTGCTTGCTTGCTTTCACCCAAGATGGTGGCACCAGCTCTTGGGGGGGGGACCTCTCAACTTCACTGTTCTCTCTTCCCAGCCTCTGTATTTGCGTAATCTAATCTGCGGCTGGGAGGGGGCAGAGTGCCCACCTCCTGGCACCACCACAAGGGTGCTGAGTGCCCACCTCCTGGCAGACATCTTGCTCTTCCTCGTTCCTCAGCTTCTGAGAGTTCACTGAGTATTTCCCATCTCCCCTGAGGAATAGAAACGTGATCCTTTTTTAAAGGAAAGACAGAGAATCTTGGGCTGCTGACTGGATCATTCACCTCATGCAGAATCCCACAGATTGGCAGCCAGGCTGCAGAGCCCGTGGGCTACATGTAGTTGTCTTCACATGGTCAGTACACAGAGACTGGCCAAGTCGGAGGGACCGGCCTCAGAAAAAGAAAAGAAGGCCCAAAAGTCGGCTTAAAAACCTCAGCAAGGAAAGTGAGTTTAAGAGCAGGGCACGCTTTGGCTGGAGATTCACTACACCGCTTTCATCTGCAGTGTGGAGAGGATGGTGGAGCTACTGCAAACAGACGTCTTGGCGGAGAAACTGAGGGGGTGGAACAAGGCCTAAAGGGGAAGGGAATAGTTACACGTGGAAACGAGGGGAAGAAAGGCTTTAGGGTGTGGGTCCCCAAAATTTCTGAGCCTGTGGGCACCTTTGGAATTCTAACACAGCGTGGTGGACACAGCCACAAAATGGCTGCCACCGCTTCCCTTCAGTCACACAGTGACAATCCTTGCGCTGTGGTGGCAGCTGCTGCCAAAGCGACATTTTTTAAAGTCTGCACAGCCAATCGAATCGCCGATGGCCAGTCAGAAGCCTTGCTGGGCAAAAGCTCCATCTGCCCGCTTCCTAAAAACACATGGCAGGTGCCAGGAAAGGTTCTGGCGGGCACCATGATGCCCATGGGCACCATATTGGGTACTCTTGGTTTAGGGAGACCAGCCATCAACTCAGAAGGACCCTTCAGATGAAAGCAATGCAGGGACAAGAGCCATCAACGACTCCTTGGGGCTGGGACTCCTACCGCCTGGTTGCGCCTTCCATGCTTACTGTTTGTAGTGCAGTTGGAGAGTGTATCTCGTGCTCAGGCTGTTTGGGATTCCCACTTTCTGCATCTGAACATCTACACGCACAAGTTCACCTTATGTTCTGGTCACCACTGGAAATCTTGCTTGCCCTCCCCCTTCTCAGTCAATTCTGGTTTCTGGAGGGTGTGAACCGACTTTTCTTCTGAAACGCGCTTCACGAGGCTTCATTCTGAAAGACGTTCAAGTGTTTCATGATTTACCAGGAATCTAGGTGGCTTGGGCTACGGGTGCACCAATTTGCAGAGTTCTGGGCAGTGTGGAAGCCCCTTCAGTATCGGGGGCATGGAGTCTTTGCTCTCGAGGACGAGATGGAAAACACCTTGGTTTTTAGGGTTTTTCAAGTAATCAGGGAATCAAATTACACATTTTCAGAGATGGAGAAGTACCACATATCTGGGTGTTCAGTTGTTCAATGTTCCCTCTAAGCTGTGGAGTCCTGTGAGCAAAAGTTCTACTTTGTGAGCTGCTGGCATTAAAGGTGTGAGCGAGTGATTTGGCTGCTGCATAAATTAGTTTGCTCTGGAGCCCTCCTTCCTGAGCTAAGACAAAAATGTGTGAGCCGGAGGCTAAAAGACTGTGAGCTAGCTCACACTAACTCAGCTTAGAGGGAACACTGGTTGTAGTCCTTATTTTTTTTTTAAATTTTACTTCATTTATACCCCACGTTCCTCCCCAACAGGGACCCAAAGGGACTTACAACGTTCTCCTGTCCTCCGTTTTTCCCTTACAAGAAGGCCACCCAAGCAAGCTCCAGGACCGAGCGGGGACTTGAACCAGGGGCCTCCCAGATTCTAGTCTGAAACTTAACCACTGCACCATGCTGGCTGTTACCATTTTGAGGGTCGCACGACCCATTTCAAGAATGATTCCAGTGTTCAAGGTGCTTTAGGCTCTGCACACCCATTTTCAGATGTCTACACGGTGTTGAACGACC